TGATACTGGGTCCACTACAGGATCCACACCAGATGATACTGGGTCCACTACAGGGTCCACACTAGATGATACTTGGTCCACTACAGGGTCCACACTAGATGATACTGGGTCCACTACAGGGTCCACTCTATATGATACTGGGTCCACTACAGGGTCCACACAAGATGATACTGGGTCTACTACAGGGTCCACACCAGATGATACTGGGCCCACTACAGGGTCCACACTAGATGATACTGGGTCCACTACAGGGTCCACACTAGATGATACTGGGTCCACTACAGGGTCCACTCTATATGATACTGGGTCCACTACAGGGTCCACACTAGATGATACTGGGTCCACTACAGGGTCCAAACCAGATGATACTTGTCCCACTACAGGGTCCACACCAGATGATACTGGGCCCACTACAGGGTCCACTGTAAACGCTACTGGGTTTACTACAGAGTCCACACCAGATACTACTGGGGCCACTACAGGGTCCACACCAGATGATACTGGGTCCACTACAGGGTCCACACTAGATGATACTGGGTCCACTACAGGGTCCACTACAGGGTCCACACCAGATGATACTTGGTCTACTACAAGGTCCACTCTATATGATACTGGGTCCACTACAGGGTCCACACTAGATGATACTGGGTCCAATACAGGGTACAGGGTCCACACCAGAGTCAATTATAGGGTCCACACTAGATGATACTGGGTCAACTACAGGGTCCACTCTATATGCTACCGTGTCCACTACAAGATCCACACCAGATGATACTGGATCCACTACAGGGTCCACTCTAGATGATACTTGGTCAACTACAGGGTCCACACCAGATGATACTTGGCCCACTACAAGGTCCACACTAGATGATACTGGGTCCACTACAGGGTCCACACTAGATGATACTGGGTCCACTACAGGGTCCACTCTAGATGCTACTGGATCTACTACAGGATCCACACCAGATGATACTGGGTCCACTACAGGATCCACACCAGATGATACTTGGTCCACTACAAGGTCCACACTAGATGATACTGGGTCCACTACAGGGTCCACTCTAGATGATACTTGGTCCACTACAGGGTCCATTACAGGGTCCACTACAGGGTCCACACTAGATGATACTGGGTCCACACCAGATGATATTGGGTCCACTACCATGTCCACACTAGATGATACTGAGTCCACTACAGGGTCTACACCAGATGATACTGGGTCCACTACAGGGTCCACTACAGGGTCCACACTAGATGATACTGGGTCCACTACAGGGTCCACTCTATATGATACTGGGTCCACTACAGGGTCCACACTAGATGATACTGGGTCCACTATAGGGTCCACATTAGATGATACTCTGTCCACTACAGGGTCCACACTAGATGCTACTTGGTCAATTATAGGGTCCACACTAGATGCTACTTGGTCAACTACAGGGTCCACACTAGATGCTACTGGGTCCACTACTGGGTCCACTACAGGGTCCACTGCAGGGTTCACATCAGATGATACTTGGTCCACTACAAGGTCCACACTAAATGATACTGGGTCCACTACAGGGTCCTCTACAGGGTCCACTGTAAATGCTACTAGTTCCACTACAGGGTCCACACAAGATGATACTGGGTCCACTACAGGGTCCACACTAGATACTATTGGGGCCACTACAGGATCCACACCAGATGATACTGGGTCCACTACAGGGTCCACTGTAAATGCTACTGGGTTCACTACAGGGTCCACACCAGATGCTACTGGGGCCACTACAGGATCCACACCAGATGATACTGGGTCCACTACAGGGTCCACACTAGATGATACTGGGTCCACTACAGGGTCCACACCAGATGATACTGGGTCCACTACCGGGACCACACCAGATGATACTTGTCCCACTACAAGGTCCACACTAGATGATGCTGGGTCCACTACAGGGTCCACTACAGGGTCCACACCAGATGATACTTGGCCCACTACAGGATCCACACCAGATGATACTGGGTCCACTACAGGGTCCACTCTAGATGATACTTGGTCCACTACAGGGTCCACACTAGATGATTATAGGTCCACTACAGGGTCCACTACAAGGTCCACACTAGATGATACTGGGTCCACTACAGGGTCCACTACAGGGTCCACACCAGATGATACTGGGTCCACTACAAGGTCCACACTAAATGATACTGGGTCCACTACAGGGTCCACTCTATACGATACTGTGTCCACTACAGGGTCCACACTAGATGATACTGGGTCCATTCCAGGGTCCACACTAGATGCTACCGTGTCCATTACAGGGTCCACACTAGATGCTACTAGGTCCACTACAGGGTCCATTCTAGATGATGCTGTGTCCACTACAGGATCCACGCCAGATGATACTGGGTCCATTACAGGGTCCACTCTAGATGATACTGGGTCCACTACCGGGTCCACACCAGATGATACTGGGTCCACTACAGGGTCCACACTAGATGATACTGGGTCCATTACAGGTTCCACACCAGATGATACTTGGTCCACTACAAGGTCCACACTAGATGATTATGGGTCCACTACAGGGTCCACTACAGGGTCCACACCAGATGATACTGGGTCCACTACAGGGTCCACTCTAGATGATACCGGGTCCACTACAGGGTCCACACTAGATGATAATGGGTCCATTACAGGTTCCACACTAGATGATACTGGGTCCACTACAGGGTCCACACTAGATGATACTGGGTCCACTACAGGGTCCACACGAGATGATACTGGGTCCACTACAGGGTCCACACTAGATGCTACTGGGTCCACTACAGGGTCACCACACAGTATGAGAAAGGGTCCATTACAGGGTCCGCACTAGATGATACTGGGTCCACTACAGGGTCCACACTAGATGCTACTGGGTCCACTACAGGGTCCATTCTAGATAATACTGGGTCCACTACAGGGTCCACTACAGAGTCCACTACAGAGTCCACAATAGATGCTACTGGGTCCACTACAGGGTCCACACTAGATGATACTGGGTCCATTACAATGTCCACACTAGATGATACTGGGTCCACTACAGGGTCCATTCTAGATGATACTGGGTCCACTACAGGGTCCACACTAGATGCTACTGGGTCCACTACAGGGTCCACTCTAAATGCTACCGTGTCCACTACAGGGTCCACGCCAGATGATACTGTGTCCACTACAGGGTCCACTCAAGATGATACTTGGTCCACGACAGGGTCCACACTAGATGATACTGGGTCCACTACAGGGTCCACACTAGATGATACTGGGTCCACTACAGGGTCCACACCAGATGATACTGGTCCACTACAGGGTCCACTACAGGGTCCACACTAGATGATACTGGGTCCACTACAGGGTCCACTCCAGGGTCCACTACAGGGTCCACACCAGGTCCACTACAGGGTCCACTACAGGGTCCACACCAGATGATACTTGGCCCACTACTAGGTCCACACTAGATCATACTGGGTCCACTACAGGGTCCACACCAGATGATACTGGGTCCACTACAGGGTCCACACCAGATGATACTGGGTCCACTATAGGGTCCACTCTAGATGATACTAGGTCTACTACAGGGTCCAAACCAGATGATACTTGGCCCACTACAAGGTCCACACTAGATGATACTGGGTCCATTACAGGGTCCACACCAGATGATACTTTGTCCACTACAAGGTCCACACTAGATGATTATGGGTCCACTACAGGGTCCACTATAGGGTCCACACCACATGCTACTGGGTCCATTACAGGGTCCACACCAGATGATACTGGGTCCACTATAGGGTACACTCAAGATGATACTAGGTCTACTACAGGGTCCAAACCAGATCATACTTGGCCCACTACAAGATCCACACTAGATGATACTGGGTCCACTACAGGGTCCACACTAGATGATACTACAGGGTCCAGTCCACTCTAGATGCTGCTGTGTCCACTACAGGATCCACACCAGATGATACTGGGTCCACTACAGGGTCCACTCTAGATGATACTGGGTCCACTACCGGGTCCACACCAGATGATACTGGGTCCACTATAGGGTCCACTCTAGATGATACTAGGTCTACTACCAGATGATACTTGGCCCACTACAAGGTCCACACTAGGGCACAGTTATGGGAACATTGAAAATCCTTAAAATGTCGAATTTCTTCATTTCGTTTGAATGACTGGATATTTTTATGCCCCCGCCACGAAGTGGAGGAGGGCATTAAGATTTACACTTGTCCATACATCCTGTCTGTCCGTCCGCCGAGCTGTCCTGTCCATCTGTCTGTACGTCACAGTTTCCTTGTCTGGACCATATTTCCTAAACCGTTGCATGTATTGAGACCAAACTTGGTAAGGATGGGTAACAGCATGGGGCGTCGTGTCACGTGCCAACATTTGATTTGTGACCTCAAGGTCAAAGGTCAAAATCTAGATCAAATTTCAGAAAAATGCTTGTCCAGACCATATTTCCTGAACCGTTGCATGTATGGAGACCAAACTTGGTATGGATGTGTAACAGCATGGGGCTGCGTGTAGCATGCCAACATTGGATTTGTGACCTCAAGGTCAAAGGTAATGTACCCTACTGAAATATGTTTCTCCAGTGACAAAAATAACGTGGGGGCACCATGTCAGCCTGACATATTTCTAGCTTTTTATTGGATTTACATCAAATATGATGTGACCGTTTGTATCAATGAGATCTAAGATGCATTCAATATTGGTTTAAAATGGCCAACAGTTGTCAGGGTTACGGAACTTCAAATTCCTTAAAATGGTGAATTTCTAACTTCATATTGTTATACCTCAACATTGATGTCCCTACATGAAGGCTTGCTTAGCCTTCATAAATGACTTCTGCTTGGGGACATAATGTTTCTCAAGCATATCTTACGAATTATACATGCGTAGTTTTGAAAAAGATTGAAATACTTTCCAGCATTTCTGTTTGGGATGTGTGCATGTATTTTAATTACAGCATACAAGATTCAAAGAGTTCTCATCTCAGCAGATAATGCCTTCATACCCTATTGGCAAGGCCGCAGTGATTGTGAAAACTAAAGAGGGTGCAGATGGACCAGCTTTTTCACTAGCAAGCCACTTGTGTTTTATTGGAAGGTACTGGATTAAATATATTTCCATGTTAAAATCTACTAGTCATTAATTTAGCAAATTGCATTATTTCATTACTTGTGTCAACATAAGCTTACACGAAGAGTTTGGAACTGGTATTTTTTTGAGGAATACTATGTGGAAGAAGTATTTTGATGTAGGTGTCATTACAGGTTCAACACCAGATGATCAGAAGGCCAAAGGTCAAGGTCAAAGACCTACAAGACTGCATAGCTCTTCAAATTTCTTCAAGAAACTGTCAATCTCATTATAATGCAAGTGCCAAAGTCATGTGGTCAAAAGGCATGGACACCAAAGGTTATCCCAGTTGCAATTGTTCATTATCGTTAAAATTACCATCTACCCTGTTCCCAATGTTGTCTAGATTTTCTTTCTCCTGGGTTCCCCTGGCATTGCCCATATGTATGGAAAAATCACAAGCAGATATATAGATATACGGTATTTCCAATATGATATTGTTATGCTCTGTACCACAAATTCTTCCTATTTTCCAGGTCAAGAGAGTGTGACTTAATTGTTAATACAAGCAATTATGATGTAGAGTATAAGCTACTGATCGACGGGAAGAAGGTAAATATGGATCAGTAATTTGTATTTCTAGTTATGGTAATGCAACACCTAGCCGACCGGGGTTCGATTCCCGGAACGGACGTGAAAAGGTAAGGGGTCACCTGCCCGACCATGTGGGTTTTCCCCGGGTACTCCGGTTTCCTCCCACAAAAAGACCCCTCGCGCGCTTACATCCGGGCCAACAAGAGTGATTAGTATAAGTTGACATAATTTGTTTCGCAATTGTTGTAAAATAAATAAAGTTTATATATATAATGCAACACTCCATTGAATTTTGAGCTCACCTGATCTGATGGGTAAAGTAAACTTTGGTGCACTAATCTGTCCATCCATCTATCTGTCGTGCCACTTTGCCATCAGTAAGTTTTTGTAATTGTAAACTTATACTCAACATACTGTTTTAATTTCAACCAAATTTTGCAAGAAATAGTTTTTGGTGATAGGATTTCAGAGCATCCCTTGTTGTCCAATTATCTATTTCAGGCTTATTAAAATATAATTACAATTGCCATCCATGATTTTATATTGATGCAGCATACATAATTAATTAGAGACCATATAACCAATGTGGAAGTTAGTATCCTTTTCTGATACCTGAGTAGTTCATATTCAGTTACATGTAATTGTAACTTGAATGTCACATGAAGGTGAACACTGTGCATACAGTAGAAACCTTTTTTTTTCACAGATCTACTTGAAAGACATGAAGAAGGGAGGGAGATGCAGACAGATAGGGAACAACAGCACTTTCTCTGTCAGTGGAAGAGAGTTTAAACTGAAGATACATGTAGGTGATATATTCTGTTTTAAAACCTACCTTTAGCATGAAGACACATCAAAAACAATAGTTACTGTTTTTGCATGGCTGATATGACTGTTAAGGCCCATGAGCCTATACTTCAGCTTTTAATTGCCATTAATTGATCACCAGTATAGGTAATCAGTGTACAATGTACCAGTTAAGCATTTAGTTATAATTAAATCCTGTTGTCAAAAGTAAATGTATATCTAGCTTGACAGTAAATATGTCCAAATAATTGCTCACATACCAAGTGGACACTTAATGTGTGTAAAAATGTCACCATCACAGCCAAATGAACACTAACAATGTAAACCACCAAAATATTTCTGGGGAGCACATACCAGGTGGACACTTAATGTGTGTAAAAATGTCACCAGCACAGCCAAATGAACACCAACAATGTAAACCACCAAAATATTTCCGAGGAGCACATACCAAGTGGACACTTAATGTGTGTAAAAATGTCACCATCACAGCCAAATGAACACCAACAATGTAAACCTCCAAATGATTGTGCAGGTACACATTCAAGTAAACACTTACATGATCATTAGATCATGAGTACCCTGCATGAAATGAACACTTAATATTTACAGTCTACGCTGACATTCCCATTGTAAACATGCCAAAGAGCAACTGAGGTTATCACTTGATATACTCGGTCCGAGTTGAAACATGCAACCTGCATAGCATGACGTCATAAATACATTTTACGATCTTGTTGAAATTGAGCAATGAAAAACAGTGTGCTTCAGATAAAGACACGTAAAGTACAATTTAAAATGAAAATGTAGTGGTAAATAAATATGAAACAATCATGTTATGAACAAAATAAAATATTGGAGCTTGGGAACTACTTTTTGTTGTTTCTTGCCAAAGATCAGCTGTTTATTTTGGCAAGAATTAGTCAGCTTGTTAGCTATAACAAGAATTGAAAGAACCAAACAATAAAAGGTGGTAAAATGAACTTTACCAGTTTTATTTAAACAGAATGGAATTCTTAGTGGACCCAAAATGTAAAAGACTGTAAATATAAGTAATAACTGTAACAGAGTTTATGGGGTGATGACTTCAGTTGAACTAGCAGAAATTTTTCGCAGGTTTATGAAAAATTTTCACCGGTTCAACTGGAGTTATCACATCATATACTCCATTACAAACACAGTTATTACTTACATTTACTGTCTTTACAGTTATTTCTTAAATATTACAAATGTTATACTTACAGCCAAATGATCATGAGTACACACAATTATATATTAAGAATTAGTGAGTTTAGTCAGATGGCTATTCATGTCTATGGGCTTCTTGTTAAAAGAATCATATATATATTATACCTATTTGACTTGCAAATTTAATAGTTTATATGTCCCTTTTAATCCTGTAATGAATGTTGTTTTAATTTTTGATCATTTTCCTAATGTTTGTAGGATAAGGATCCATCCGATGCTGAGGATGATGACATGAAAAGTTCAGATGAGGAAATGTTATCAGCATCAGATGCAGAGGTATAAACCTGACATTGCTCCTATCTATGTTATAAATGTATGCCATTCATTTCTTACATATTACCCACAGGCTGTGTGATCAAAAATATTGGAAAAACACCTTATGTAGGCTATCTTATGAAGCTTGTTATTTGAGGATATGATTTCCAAAAAGCATGAAATCTGAGGGCTAATATATCTTAAAATCCAAGATTTTAAGCTCAGTCATTGAGAAGAAAAAGAAGCTATTGGCATACTGTGCTGTTTGTCAGATCATCTATTGTCTGTAAACCTTTCTTTACAAGTATTACTTGTGAGCCGCCAGGTGAATTTCAACCAAACATTGTAGGAAAGCTACTGGCCCCTCTTGGGGGCCCCATATGGATTAAAAGTTGAGGAGGGGGGCAGGGGCAAAAATGGGTGCATATAGAACAAATGTTCTAGTAAATGGACAGTTTGATTGCTTTAATATTAAGGTTATAGCATCCTTGGTTAGTGTTCTACAAAGTTAATAAAAGAGAAAAATATATTGATAAACATGGCCACCTGGGGGCACACTTTGAATTCTTTGGTCTTTAGTCTTACCCTCAATATATTGTTTAACAAACTAGCAGTTGGATTTCTCTGATAGTTGATAAATAATACCCTTATTTTAAGCTTAAAAAGTTGCAAGGAAATAGAAATTGGTCAATAAGCAGGGCCAGTAGGGGCACTAAGTTGACTTCAACAATTCTCAGTAACTGGTTGTCCAATTACTTCAGTATTTCGTATTTAGAGCTCTTGGTACAGACTCAAAATCCGTCAATAATCATCCCAAGGAGGAGCAAGTGCTTTACATAAGGCCATCGTTATACATATGTACAGTAGTTGGCCAAAAGTAAGTTGGCAACGTCATTTTTCACTATATGTTTCATGTATTGTCACACTTTTTCAATTAATTTTCCTGACTTTTATTTTTGGCCAATTTCATTCAATTTTTTACATGTAGACAGAGTATTTCCCAACGTTTCTGATGACAGATTTTTCGTTAGTTTCTGTCTCGAATTTTTCGAGATATTAAAGATAACTCTCAGGAGAAAACTCTCAGTGGCGTTATATGGTAAGAATAAAGAAGAAAATGGCAACAGTTATGTTCACGTTTGAAAATAATCAACGACCATTCATAAAATAGGAAACGGATAGCTATAAAAGTATTACACGAAACTTTGCTAGGTAAATGTGTTGATATACAAGAAATTATACCGAGATTGGTTGGAAAACAAAGCCAGGAAAATTAATTGAAAAAATGTGTAAATGCATTGAATATATAGTGAAAAGTGACATTGCGAACTTATTTTTGGCCAACAACTGTACCCATTGGACGCCTTTAGTCCCTCTTTGAAGCAATAATATGCCTTTTAGCAAATAAAATCTTCAAAGTACTTTAAGTGACTATTGAGACCCATCGGTTCCTTTGACACTTTGACGACGACAGGTGAATTGGGTCTCTTTTAAATTCTTAGCCTCATTAATTTATGAATTATGATAATGTAATTTTTTTCTTATCTGTCTAGAATGACACACCAGATTATGCTGACTGGATAGCACCATATGATGCAAGTGAGGTCTCATCAGAAGAGATATCAGATTCAGAGGTAAAAAGCAGAGGTTTGCGATGCCCAGTATACAATGATCTTTTTACCGACTTTGATCCAATTTCAAAACTGTTCAACATGATCTATTTAATCATGAATTCTGGTCAGTCTGCTGTAGACAATGCAAATTTTAATATTGACAAAACATTTTGGGCTCTTTTTTTGGCCAAATATTACTAGATCTGGAAAAAAATTAGAAAGGGAAGTATATTAAGATTTTTTCATATGATGGATCCATGCTTCCAAAAGAAAATTACAGAAATTCTTGAAAATTATCCACTGAATCACATTTTCAAAATGCTTCAGTCCTCTTACCAAAACATCATTCTAATTATTATCTTTTAAATGACTTTAGGATAACAGTTTAGGAGAAGCTGAACATTTCGAGTCAGTGATTCCTCCTTCTGTATCAGAAGAGGATGATACAGTCATCTTTAAAGCCAGTGTAAGTGAACTATTTTTCATCTAACCAGACTCGAGTGCAGAGTAATCCTCATGTTCTAACATCTAACTAGACTCAAGTGTAGAGTTATCCTCATGTTCTAACATTTAGCTAGACTCCAGTGCAGAGTAATCCTCATGTTCTAACATCTAACCAGACTCAAGTGCAGAGTAATCCTCATGTTCTAACATCTAACTAGACTCAAGTGTAGAGTTATCCTCATGTTCTAACATTTAGCTAGACTCCAGTGCAGAGTAATCCTCATGTTCTAACATCTAACTAGACTCAAGTGCAGAGTAATCCTCATGTTCTAACATCTAACCAGACTCAAGTGCAGAGTAATCCTCATGTTCTAACATCTAACTAGACTCCAGTGCAGAGTAATCCTCATGTTCTAACATCTAACCAGACTCGAGTGTAGAGTAATCCTCATGTTCTAACATCTAACTAGACTCAAGTGTAGAGTAATCCTCATGTTCTAACATATAAGCAGACTCAAGTGTAGAGTAATCCTCATGTTCTAACATGTTTTCTCAAAAAAATCTTGTTTATAATTTGTCAGCATCTGACAATCTGTAGCTGAATAGAAAGATGTTTAGAAAATATCAAATATTAGGAATCAAGCTTAAATAGAATACACACGTCAGGCATATAGGCATATTAGTCAAAGCAAAACTTCTTAAACATGATTTCTAGCTCACCAGAACTTGGTCTTTTTGGCATAGAAAATTTATTCAAAAAAGTTTATCTTGTTTCTTATTAATGTCAAGATATGTGTGTTGAAACTATGATGTTACAAGTGAGTTCTGTACTATGTTATATTGACAACTTTCTTCCCTTATGGAATCTGTAAATTTTGTGACGAAAGTGAATCTGTTATGATTATTACAGGAATCCAAATCAAGTGAGATATCATTGGTTGCTGCCAAAAGCAATAACAACAAAGTTATCATCCAGCAAGCAACCCTTACAAACAACAGAAGAAGTGACAAACTCCATTCCTGTCTATATTGCTGCCGAATGTATGCCCGTATATCACGACACTATACTCAAGTACATTCAAAAGAGACAGATGTTGCCAAGGTATTAGCTCTGTCTAAAAATTCGAAAGCAAGGAAAAGCCTGTGGGCTAAAATCGTCAATAAAGGTGACTTCAATCACAATATCGATGTCATGAAAAACCAACAAGGAATGGTAATACCTAAATATCGGCCAAGGACAAACCAGGATTGCATGACTAAATATGTTCCCTGCAAGTACTGTTTGGGCATGTTTGTTCCAACCGATCTCTGGAAACATGCTAGAAGCTGCAAAAGTAGAGATGATCCCCAGAAAACAAAAGCAGGGTACAGAGAAATGGTGAACAGTGGAAAACTGTTATTGCCTGTGGTTGGGTCAAGTCACCAGCTGTTTGAAAACATTCTTACAAAAATGAAGAATGATGCCATCACAAGGGCTGTGGAGAATGATGACCTGATTTTACTTTTCGGTGAGAGACTATATAACAAAAACGGACATAATTTCCATCAACATCAATATATTTCACAACGCCTGAGGGAACTTGGACGATTCCTAATTCAGATGAGAGAGATGTTTCCATCAGAATCATTTGTGCTCTCTTCTTGCCTTCTGCCTTGCAACTGGGATAAGCTTCTGAAGGGATTGAAGCAAGTTGCAGGTTATAACGAAGGAACTCATGTTTATGATATTGCTTCTCTCCCACTCAAACTGGGACACAGTTTTAGCAAGTGTGCCAAGATTTTGAAAATGCAGGCTGTTAGAGAGGACGACGAGGTCTTGAAGAAAACTGCAGAAGGATTCCTTGAGCTGTATGAATCGGAATGGGCAGAAAGTATTTCATCACATGCCTTAACCACACTGCATAATTCTAAGTTCAACAAACCCCAGTATGTCCCACTGGCAGAAGATGTGAAAAGGCTAACAATCTATCTGAAGAAAAGAGCTGACGACTTACAGGAGAGTAGTGACTCCAAAGGCCTAGATGACTTGGCAGAAGTTGTGCTAGCACAATTAATCCTTTTCAACAGAAAAAGAAGTGGGGAAACCCAAAGGATGGAAATCAAAGACTACAGGGAAGGTATCAAAGAAAGTGGTGTGGCTATAGATGAAGAAGTCCAGATGTCTTTGACAAAATTTGAGAGGGAGTTGTGTGCAGTTCATTATCGCATCGAAATAAAAGGGAAGAGGGGCAGAAAAGTTCCTGTGTTAATCACAGAAGATGTCAAAAACAGTATTGATCATATGTTAAGCAAGAGACCAAAAGAGTCAAAATATCTGTTTATGAAGACTGAAAATACACAGCCCATCAGAGGATGTGATGTGTTGCGAAAGTTTGCCAGAGCATGTGGGGCCCAGCATCCCCAGCATCTGACTTCAACAAGACTCAGGAAACATCTTGCAACAATGTCTCAAATCCTTGGTTTGAGAGAGGAACACCAAGACATGTTGGCAAAGTTTATGGGACATGATATTCGAGTACATCGGGAATTCTATAGACTGCCGGAGAATGTGTTGGAGGTTGCAAAGGTGTCAAAGGTTTTGCATCTGATAAACAGTGGGTCCATTTCTGCCTACAAAGGACAAGATTTTGATCAGATAGAATTTGATAATGAAGGTATGTACATCATCCTATACATAGTTGTAGTACATGCATACTTATTATTCTAGATGCTTCTATTCTTGATAAAATAATTTCTAAGATTTTAATCAAATATTCTTATTATTGCAAGAAATATTGAGTGAAATTTATGTATTTGGACTTAAGACTATGATTGCTTGGTGATTAAGGTCAGTGTTGCAGGTTTGAATTCTACTGAAGACAATTTCATTCTTATTGTCTTATAGTGAAGTTTTTGTCTAATACCAGGCCCTTCTTTAAAAACCTATTTTAAACTTCTTGTGTTGTTACTTTTTGGATTGGTCTGAGATCCATGATGGCTGCCAGACCACCATCTCGTAAAAACCTATTTTCCAGGTGCGATTGAATCTCAGGTGACCGATAAGGTCCATGAGCCTCATGTTTATGAAATATAACCGCTTTATATTTTAAAAATTGCTGAAAAGAACTAAAGATTAAATGGAATTATTGTTCCCCATTCCTTATAACAATTTGCTCTTATTAGGCACTATATTTTTAATACTCCAACTATTTCTTTACATATCAACTTTAGTAGTGGGGAACTTATTTAGAGATGATTTCCATATCCTAATCATCTAGTTGCATACATTTCCTGGGCCAGAGGGAGCTAAAATGGTTGCTTGTGAGACAGTGTTCATGTATGTTAAGAATATGTTGTGTTAGAGGATAGTTTGAGCTAGTTATTTATAACTTGGTATATGGCTTCATTCTGGGGGTTCCAATCCCGGACCCAGATTTCATTTTTTTTGGCCCTTTGTACATGTAAATTGCCACATTTTGCAGTTTTCTGGATTTGTCTAAGTGGGCATAGGCAACACATTTAATTACATGTAATTCTTGTAATAAGCTTTAGTTAGTTGGGTTTTTTTTTTTATCTAAAACAGAACAAATAAAGGAAAATGATCAAAATGCAGACATATCTGGTGATGAGGATGATGATGATGATGATGATGAGGAGGAGGATGAAGACATAGTGGGAGATGATGATATTTGTGAGGATGAACCACCACCTTCAAAGAAGATGAAGAAAAATTGTAGTGAGTTATTTCAGTCACACTTATTCCATTGTCTATTCACATTATATGCACATTATCTTCCATAACAGCCATCTTTAAGAACTTAAAGTGCCAGAGGTTTAATGTTTTCATATGTAAGTTGCCCTGGAGATCTAGAAAATCTTTTTTGTTAAAATCCCTAGGCTCATAAATGAGCTATTTGAGGTAGTATTTTTCAAGGGTTGCCATTCAAACCGATTGTTGATATTTTGTATAAACATCCTTTATGGGTTTATTCATAGATGTTGTAATGAAAAATTACAAAATATTTTAAAATATGATTCTGCCAAATTTTCTGGAAATTTTCCTGGTGAGGTCTTTGGTGCAAGTTCTTTTTTTAAGGGTTGCTTTGCAGTTACTTGGAGTTGTTGACATGTGTTTGCACATGAACGTTTTTGGTTAGATCTGTATAAATACCCTAGCTAAGGTTTTTAGGCAAGTTTTTTTGGCCACATTCTCTGGATTTTTGCACATATTTATTGGAGTTGGTATTCAATCACTTGGATGATTTATTGCATGAATCTCCATCTCAGTTAGACCAGCTTTTGCTTACTTTTTGCTGGAATTGAAATGGGGATGCTACAAAATGTTTATGTTCCACAAACTTTTCATTTAGATTTTCACAGTAACATGTGGAAAACTTAATAAAGATATATGTTTCAAACAGTTCTGGTTAACTAACCCATCACAAAAATTTGGTAAGTCCATCCAGGGTAGACTAATCAAGACACAATTTACTTCGGTTGAAGATGAATATAAGATGAACATATTGTTATGTTATGCCCCTTATGAAATAGTCCCTATACATTTCATGCATGTAAATAGAAAAAAAAAAAAACGATGTTGGACTGGTTACGTCACATCCACTCTATCGTTTTGTAAACACAACTTAACAGATGCAGTTAGCTTTACACATTGACTTTTGAGGAAGAAATTCAATGGATACTACATAAAAAAGTTGTCTTGCAATCAAAAAGGTCAGGTAAATAGGGGTGTAACAAAACAGTTATCAACTGGGATTTTGGTTAACAGGTCATCTGTTGCCCTCAACACCAGTCAATAACTGTATAATATTGCTAATGTTTCAGTTATTTCTTAGTTATATCATTCTTGTCGTAAAATGTGTTTTGTAATATTTCTTAGGTCGCCGTACATGGTCAGCAACAGAAAGAGCAACACTTGAGAGGGCTTTTGCAGTTCATATAAGGACAATGAAAGTGCCAGGAAAGCTTGATTGTGTAAATGCAGCAAAGAAAGAGAATTGCTTGGCTAAATATGACTGGAAGAAAATAAAATATGCCATCTACAACATCATTCTAGCTAGGAAAAGAAGGGTTTAATGCTGAACATTGATGTTGACAATATCTCGTCTTAAAGACATCATTTTGGAGTTATTGACAAAGATTAAAAACACTACTTTTGGGACCAGAGATTTCAGGATAATGAGCTGACTGCATGGCTGGCAAGGTGAGACGAAGGTTTCGGTTCTCCCGTTCGAGTTGGAAGAAAACCTGTTGGAAAATAAAGCAGCGTACATCCAAAAATCTTGCACTTTTTCTCTAAAGCTCAAACTATTAGATACGGGTAGTCTCTCTCAGATAAATAGCTGGTTTACCGTATCTTGTCTTCATAAGCAAGTGCCGTGTGATGGATTGTTCTGCACTCTGGCCTCATTTTGCATTTGTGCTGTATCTGCAAGTGGCATGGGATATCTGAACTATACGGTACAGTTGCTTAATTTCGCGGGCTAATATTTCGCTAAAGCACCGTCAAGCGTTTGTTCACGGGGATTCATTTGTCTACAGTGTACCTCAATTAAGAAAGCATATTACATGCCTCAGAAATGTTCCCTGGGTATTTTAATACGCGCCCACATAAATGTCCCCGAACATATAGCAATTAAATGACCCGCCATTATTACCAACTATATAGTATCTACAAGTCGCCCGTGATGGTTGATGGTGCGTACGCTGGCCAGATCTAGCTATATCTGCCAATTGACTTTGCTGGGTGATGGTCTGTCAGCTTGCAGTATCTATACCATATCGAATAAAAAAATATGGCAATCGGTTCGCTGGCTATATAAGCTATACCAATATGTTGCTTGTGGTGGCGGCTAACTGCCTACAGCTCAGTTGTGGTCAAGTGGGACTTTAATATATACCGCGGGGGAAGGGTGATCGATGGAGCAGAAGATACTTACCCTTCTGAAACGTCTGGTGTTCTACTATATTTTCGAAATTATAGTTTTCTCTTTGGTATCTCTCTTGTTAATGGGTATATATGTAATTTATATGTGGAGGTGTTTAGTTACCAGTGTGTGTCGGAGGTGTTCACTCAGCAGTGTGTGTCGGAGGTGTTCACTTACCAGTGTGTGTCGGAGGTGTTCACTCGCCAGTGTGTCGGAGGTGTTCACTCAGCAGTGTGTGTCGGAGGTGTTCACTTACCAGTGTGTGTCGGAGGTGTTCACTCAGCAGTGTGTGTCGGAGGTGTTCACTCAGCAGTGTGTGTCGGAGGTGTTCACTTACCAGTGTGTGTCGAAGGTGTTCACTCGCCAGTGTGTGTCGGAAGTGTTCACTTACCAGTGTGTGTCGGAGGTGTTCACTTACCAGTGTGTCGGAGGTGTTCACTTACCAGTGTGTGCATGCATGTCAGTTAGGTGTCCGCTTGCACTGTAGGAAGTGAAGTGCTTTCTATAGCGATACCCTGTGAACTACGTGCAATACACCCCCAAAAGTACGTGTCTATGTAATTTGTTTTCCGAAAATAGGTGATAGAACCGTAGTGTTCACTTAGCATGTGTAAAGTCAAGGTGTTCACTTGGTATGCTTCACACGTATGTGTGTGTGTGTGCGTGTGTGTGTGTAAAAGATATCATTTCTCCTTGATATTTTTTTTCACATTATCCTGATATTGTCGCTTAATTTGGTGTGTCAATGTTGAATTGATCTGTTAATTAAGTATGATAAAAAGATCTTCATTTTTTTTTTAATTTTCAATGGGTAAATATTCGATTTGTCTATTCTTTTGTTTCTGATATTAGTTCTAAGATTCTTCTGTTAACGTATTCATGATGGGTTCTAGATTTTACTGTCATCACCTTGATCAAAATTGCTTTAACATTTCCTATTTTGCATACATTTTTATTGGACTGCAATCACCCTCTGTCTACTTCAGAATTTATCGTAACATTAAAATTCTAAAGACCCTTATTGAAACTGTTACTATTAGTGAAAAATGTTGATCTGTATTAAAGACTATTTTTTTTTTTTGGTCTTTTACCTTTTAGTTTGATTGCTGTATGTTTTACCGGTTGATGGTCCTAATGACATTTTATATTTTGAGGGGCCGTTAAGAATGTCATAAGAATAATAATTTTGCATATATGCGTGATTATATATTCACAAGTAGTTGGATGTCCAGTTGTTTCCTAGCAAATTGACAGATTTTGTTATAGAATGAATGACTATGGGTCTTGTGCTGTTCTAATCTGTACTTATTGCATAGAGTGGAGACCATTTGTTAGGACTATCGCGCCTTCTCGCGACTTTTGTCTTACCCATGATTCCAAATCCGTTTTCTATGGCTATCAATTTAGAAGTGTTAATTGGGTGTTCATCTATCAGTCTAAATATTAATGACTTAATATATACATAGTAATATGATTTTCACAACACTTCTAAATAACTTCGTTGCCCTCAGCCATTTCGTTAATACATTGTCTCAAGTCAGGCCTTTAGTTGAGGATACGTTTCTGGGTTGTTGATCTCATGAAGGTAAAATAGTGCAAGTATAAACAACGAACATTCTGGTGTTAGCGTTGATTTTGAGGTCGACTCCTGAACAATATCAGCATCATTTGGCGGTTTTTTATGGCTGCTGTATTAACAATACCATGTATCTAAACTGTAATTCATCTACAGCGACAACGTCACGTTCTCAAGTAAGAACTTTGTTAACAATGATGGAATCACAATTACGTGAATTCGAATTACTTAGCTATGTACAATGGATTGATAGATAGATATAGCGCAAGAGCTGGTAGGTGATAAATATCTAACATTGAGATAATAAAAACAACATTCTTTGTGTTAATTAGATATATAGAGAAGCAAATGTTAGCCAAAGATAAGTATAACAGAAATGTAGGTCAGCTCCACCGTCCAGTAGAAGTCTAACGACATCTTTGTGACCGAATTGCGCTGCTTGGTATAAACAATTATATTGTAATCAAGGTTGATGTTGATATGGTGCTGATACTTTATACATATTCACTATTAATTAAAGAATGTAACGTCATAATAAAGAATGTCTCTGTTGGTATTTTATTCCTATAAACTAGGTAAATTAAAAGTATTTGTAGTAATGCTAATGGTCCTTTTTGTAAGGTTCAGACACGTGCTTATTTATAAATGTGAAGTAGGACATATAATCGATGAAATTGCTTCATTATTTCTTTTTTTATGCAATACTTACTGAAAATTGGTTAGAAGTTCCTACATATCTTTCATCTGAATTACACAAATAACAACTTACACTACTAATAAATGCAATCTTTCGGCACAGCATTATTCATATACAACGTACTTATTCTAGTATTGTTATTTCAAAGAATTTTTGAAGATATGTTACCGCATAGCCAAAAGTAAGATTTTAAGTAACGGTAAGTAACGTCTGATTTTTTACTAATTGAAAAGTAGTTTATTGCTAATCTTCAATGTCGATCCCCTGACTCATCCGGATATTCTATTCCGATCGCCCTTCTTTTATTAGTCACAGCCCGTGTCCGGAATTCGTTGGGGTAATCTCTCCATATTTAGTATACTACTTCCGGTCATAGGTCGACAGGCTTTTGGAGATCATCTAGACCTATTTGATTATTTTACAGTATGCAGACAGGTAGTAATCAAAACGCCATTCCTAAGTATTAATGTATTTTATTTCTTCTATTTTGTTTTTCTCTTATTCTTTATCTCTCTTTCTCTTTCTGTTGGGTTTGAGTTGGCATATCAAACTTTGCTGTTGATTGAATGGGGGAGGGTATAAAGATTATCTCGGCCAATGTCCAAGGACTTTCGAACAAAGAAAAGCGTAAGGATGTTTTCTCTTACTTAAGACATACTAACAAAAATATATACTGTCTACAGGATACGCACTTCACTGATGATAATGAACAGTTGATAAGAAATGAATGGGGTTATGAATCATTTTTCTCGTCCTTCCGCGGAAACTCTCGAGGGGTAGCTATTCTTATAGGTAGTAATTTTGAGTGCAAAATTCACAAGGAAAAGAAGGATTCATCAGGAAATTTCTTAGCACTAGACATAGAAGTAAATGACTCACACATTACACTTGTTAATTTATACGGTCCTAACCAAGATAATCCAGATTTTTATACAAAGATTTCAGACACCATAGAAGACTTTGAAAATACACACGTTATTATTTGTGGTGATTTTAACCTTGTTTTAAAGCCTATTCTTGATTATGACAATACATATAAAAATATCAACAATCCAAAAGCAAGAGACAGGGTATTAGATACCATGGAAAATTTTAGTCTTGCAGATATTTTTAGAGAGCATCACGAAAATGTTAGGAGATATACTTGGAGAAGAAAGAACCCAGTGAAACAGGCACGTCTTGACTTTTTCCTTGTATCTGAAAGTTTGCTATCTAGTGTAAACCATACAGGTGTTGATCCTGGTTATAGGAGTGATCATTCCTTCCCTAATATATCAATGACTTTTAACGAGTTTAAGAGAGGCAAAGGAACATGGAAACTTAATAACTCACTGCTTCATGATCTAGAATATTTAAACACTGTAAATACTTGTATCAATACAGTAAAGAAACAATATTGTATACCAGTTTATGATCTTAATAATATTGAAAATATTCCTAATTCATTAATACAATTCACTATTAATGATCAATTATTTTTAGAAACTTTACTGATGGAAATTCGAGGGAAATCCATAGCTTATGCATCATACAAGAAAAAACAATCTCATTTAAGGGAAGGTAATCTTATGAAAGTAATACAAGAGCTAGAAGCACAGGAAAACATTGATATAGATGAATTGAATGAGAAAAAGCAGGATTTAGTAAAACTAAGAACACATAAGATTAAAGGGAGTATTATTAGATCAAGGACCAAATGGGCGGAAGAGGGGGAAAAACCAACCAGTTGCTTCTTTAACTTAGAAAATAGAAACTATATATCTAAAATAATACCAAAATTACAAACCGACAATAATAACATAATAACAAAACAGGAAAGGATATTGGAAGAAGTTTGTTCTTTTTACAAAAATCTCTATGATGTCTCAGATAGTAG